TGGTCCTCTTAAAGCATTATGGGCAATGCTGCAAATCATCAAACAAAACCTTCTTGTTTTTTAATTGAGAGGATTAGATTATGGAAATTAATGCAGTAACCAAGAATTATTCTCAATGGGAAATTTTAGCCATGAAATGTTTCTATTCTCAGGAATAAAAATCACCCATCCATCCTCTTCCACCTATCCAATTAAGGGCCGTAGGTGGGCTGGAGCGTATCCCACCCCTATCCTAGTTATCGTCAAATCCAAAGAAAAAATATTGTGTAATCCGAAGATGTATCAGTTCCAGCTTTTCATATAGGTATGTTTTTTGGTTCTCTCACACTTGTATTCATGTAGAATACCTTCAGGTGTTGAAGTGCTGGTTTGGACAGGATAAGCAGTCTGAACATGAAATCACAACCCGCGTCTTTCTTTCTGATATATTTTGAAGGCCAAATAAATAGTCCATTAAGAAAACATCCATTTAAAATAATGGATAATAAAAGGAATGTTAGAAAAAGTATAATAAAATAACTGGAAAATGATGTGAGAAATTAATAAAAGATCTACATATTTGTGCAAAATCTCACTCAAATTCAATATAGGTGCCAAGCAGAAATCACTACAGTTCTAATGACATTTGAGCAAAAGTGATGTAAGTTATCTATATTTCCCAGTCTTATTAAAATGGGAAATGCTCGTAACAAACCAAAAAATCTTCTGCATTTCATTAAGGTCAGACAGCATTGCACAAGTTCACAGGGTGCAACAAAGACGTTGTTTCTCTGACCTTTTGCGTCATGGGGAAAACTGCTTTGTATGTCAATTTGCTAATGTGTTCAGTGCTTCTACAGGTGAGTGCTATTAAAGCTGAGAGAGCAGGGACGCTCTCATTGGACATACGATACATGTGACTGTCTGGCATAAAAATGTCTGTGCACTCACAGCAAGAACACAGGATAATGCTGAATATGTGTTTGAGTTCCAGTTAAAGGCCATATGAATACACAGTAGAGTCTGAAATTTCCATTTTCAAGTTAACATGCTCTGTTTAAATGGCATGCAATAACAGAGAGATCAAAACAATTTTGCACTATTCATGTTTGAACTGTATTCATGTTAAGTGAATTAAGGGAGGCTGACAGTTTTATTAGGACTAATACCACAGTGTAATCCAGCCAGTCAACCCTCTCAATGTGTAATCTTCCCTGTAAACCTTCACGAGCAGGTCTCCTTGTATGAAGCTAAAGCCTGTTCCTCGGTATAGCAGTAATCCCACTAAGGCTCTTACAGAAGTGAAATCATTTCAGAATGAAAGGAGAGGCTTTATGACTGCTACTGATTCACTGAGGATGATGATTAATGAATAAACATTTCACAAACTACCTCAAGATCTGTCTCAACCTGCATTCAGGGTCCTCCATGTATCACCTCAGATGTTAGAGGTGAATGCAATCACTCTTTATTAGAAGAGGAGTGTTTCACCTAAACCACAGCTCGAGCTGGGATGTCATGACTCATCCATCCCCCTTTCTCCTCCCCCCTCTTCCTCCTCATATCCCTCCCATACTCACACACCTCCAACAATAACCTAGAGCACATCCTCCAACTTGAATTCATGCCTCGTGATGGGTGGCTGAGGAGTTATTGAGAAATAAAGGTCAAGTCCATTAAGCTGAGGGTCGGCTGTAAGTCACGATCAGCCGGAGAGGGGGTTGGAGTACCTGGTGGCCCATTGATCTTTCATTCTGTACAAGAGACTTTCAGTGTTCACCCCCTAACTATGGGCAGGTACATATGCCAATAGAATGACCCCATATATGTCATTAAGATGGATTTCTCAGTATCACACTCCCAAAGACGCCTCAGTGCAAATCTGACAGCAAATCTAATTCCTGACTCTTCAGCAGGGAGTTTTTAATCAATTCAGTATTCTTCCATGAAGACCAAATGTACAACAGAACACCAATTGAATATGCATGATGGCTCCATCCTGCTCAAGAGCTGCACCACTTCTCTAAAGGACGGATGCGAGCTGATTTGCTTCTCTGACAGCACCAGATGGGGTGAAATGAGATGGGATTTAATCTCCATCCTTCCACAGAAGCAAAAAAAAAGAAAAAAAAAAGAAGAAGAAGAAGAAGAAAAAAAGGGCCTGTAACATTCATCATATCAGTGCAGGCCCAGGCTTGACGCAGCGAGCCAAATATACTGTAAACCATGTTCACGGACACTCTCCTGAGTGTGGGCTTTCATTTACATCATATATCAGTATCTGCATCTCAAACGTTTTCACTATCACTGCATTTTCGTGGGCGATGCGTGTCATTACTCTTGTTGACACAGGACGGTGCATTTACAAATTAAACCTGCCCCAGATGATTATGAGCAATCCCGGAGAGAACAGCAGCTGAATGAGAGAGCGAATGATAATAATATTAAAAATACATTTTGTCCTCTTCGCCATTCAGTGAACAAAACAAACAAACAAAAATTCAGCTGGCAGAGATAAAAGACTCCGACTGTTTTGCTCTTACCTCGACGTTTTTCCGCACGCATAATGACAATACAGCCATCAATATAGGTATTGCAGTATGTCCCATTTTCTCGCCTTCCTCTGCCTCTTTTTTATGACGAAGTTGCTGCTATATAATAACTGAGTCCAGCATAAGCTGTCTGGTTACATCGGCTGAAGTGATGGACACTGCCTTTCCTATATCTCCTGCGTCTTCCTCCTGTTCGCTCGTCTTGCCGTCGGGTTCTCCAATGGCAGCCTGGGCTTTTATGTGGATGAAGTCTGACAGAACCAAGCCCTGTTTCTGCGGGTATTTATCACACAGGCTACTCCTGGCGTCCTCGCTGTGGCTTAGTGCAGAGAGACATCTGGTGGGGATGAGCTGAAAATGCAACCGCTCACTTTCTGTGTCACATTTAAAGTATGTGTGAGTGAGAGAGTTTGGGGGGGGGAATTCACGTAGTTCATGTCTTAACCTGTGGTCCTACTGCTGTTTCAGTTGAAGACAAAGCAAGCTGACTTGTCATGTAGAGAGTAACCTTGCAGGTGATTCACTGAATAACTCTTAAGGCGCCTGGTTAACTGATTCAACTGCATGCAAATTTATTTACAATGATTTTTAAAAATGTATTTATTAGTTATTGCATTCATATGTTACCAGTAATTTACAAGCAAATATACATTCACTGATCTTGAGCTAACTGTCACTTTTCTTTAAATCACATTCCTTCAATGGAAACATACTTTTGGAGGACATTTAAGTGGATATGAGCACTCTTAATAATACATTTGCAGCTATTGTTCCACTGCTATAAGTCTGCCTCAGCAACACATTGTTGCTAAGCAGCACTGTGACAGTGGGAAATGTCAGTTTCAGAAGTCATATTGTTAGCCTGAGTAAAGAAGGTCTTTCTCGCCATCACACCATGACAGGAAGCATCCATCCCTCCCACCATTCATCCAGGCAACCACTGACACTCACATTCACATCTAGGGGCACATTACAATCACCACTTAATCTAATGTGTATGTCTTAAGAGAAAACTGGAGTACCTTGAGAAAATCCAGGCAGGCACATACAAAGCCCACACAGAAAGGCCCCAGCTGGTGGATTCAAACCCAGGACTTTCTTGCTGCAATACCCTTAAAGGTCTAAACACCCTGGTTTGTGAAAAGCAAACAGTAGTATCCAAAGGTTGACCAAGAGTGAGAGCACCATCAGAAGATCAGTCCACTGAGAAACAAAGAAGCAACCTCACGCTCAAGAGTTAAAGCAGCAAAGGTCTTATCAAAAGATCATCACCTAATACGTATTTGTATTTTCTTCCTCAGGAAGGAAGTACAAATCTAAAAACCACGTGTATGTACCAGCAATTAACAACACAATATTATTAGCAGGCCAGTGAGAAAAAAAGTTGTTTTGGGGTTTTTTAAGATGGCTGGATTACAATAAATTGTCTGAGACAAATTAATTTGTCAAATAATGCCAAATTTATTTGCCAAATAATGATGTGGCACACCAAAAGGTGGTGGTGGGATTTTATTATTATAAAATCTGGTAGGGGTTTACACGCTCTCCTCCATTCAGAGAAATGCCTCGTGCAGGATAGTGAGCTCAAGCTACCTTAAGACCAAAGAAGAGTAAGCAGTGCTGGCTCCCGTGGTCTTTCCTAATCATTTACCTGACCTGAACCTCACTGATCATTTATGTAAGCAAAGCATTCCTGACAACACTAAAGGATCTTTGGAGGATTGCCAGACCTATTCAGTCAGTGCCATTCATGTCCATGTTGTTACTGCAAAGGTCGTAGTAAAGGTCTTGAATTTTTGTACTTGCTATTATTATTATTATTATTATTATTATTATTATTATTATTATTATTATTATTATTATTATTGTTGTTGTTGTTGTTGTTGCTGCTGCTGCTGCTGCTGCTTTTGTTGCAACAGGAGTGGCTAAGTACTAAAATAATTTAATCAGTAAACAAATAGAGTTATTAAACATCAAAGTATTGCTGTCAAAATGATAAAACATCACAAAAATAAAAACCTCAGTTCATTCATTCTAAATGAAAGCCTGTATGCTGAGTGTAGTACAAAAACTAACATACTATATTTTGAAATAATACAACCGAGTTTATACTCTGTAAACAGTCCACATGAATGCATAATGGTACAAGCTTTTTATGAAAAATCTTTAGATTTTTTTAATACTTGGCAGCAACCTCCCTAAATGGTCAGCAGGGGGAACACATGTCTTGAAAATAAAGAAATAAAAGCTTCCTCTTACAGTAAGTCCCCAAACAGAAAAGCAGCTGGTTTAACAAAATGTTAGTTTGTACTCCCGGACAGCATATAGGGGCAGTTAGAAGTTAAATTGCTCTACCTCAGGTGGGCTTTCTTTTCTGGGTGGGGACAGGACCTACAGGTGTTTGGGGGCGTGGCTTGTGTTATGGGCGTGTGAGGAAAAAAAAAGTCGGTTTCAGGTGTTTCAGCATTCCCAGCCCTCGACGACTCAGGAAGTGAGTGCTGAAGCTTTGATTCGTCGTCAAGAAGCTACAAGATTTACTTATTTACTTTTTACTGAACACTACAGCTTCAAGGTCCGAACCTCTGCTGAATTTTTGTGAAGGAGAACAAACTAACAAGCTACAGAAAACAAAAAGGGTTGTCTCGATCCCGTGGGACTTCTCTTGGATCCTTCTTTGAAGATGCATTCCGCCAGATATGACAAAGATGTAAGTTTTGTACAACTTGATATGCGAGTCTTTATTTGTTTATTTATTTATTTATTAAGTCTTGGGTATCAGCATTACCTCGGTGTTTCCTGTTTGGACACGCTCACAGTCGCACAGATCTTCTGAAGTTAGATCTGCTGCTGACAGGCTCTTTGTGGGCCGTGTCCACGACAAGAAGAGGCACTAATACATCTCTGCAAAATGTAACCCTTGATCCTCGTATATTTAGCACCTGACAGCGATTCTGCTAAATCTAGTCTTAAATGACTCTTGTTTCTAGGCTTCGCCCACCTTGCGACGTGATGTCCCCTCATCATAATGAATGGATAAACGGAGACTTCTTGAGTAGAAAAATGGGTCCTTCTCCGTTTTATATTTTGGACAAAGTGTCCAAAAGTTTGAAGTGTTTGACATGTTATTAAGGCAAACAAACAGCTTTTCAGCTTTTTACAAATCAAAGTTGCATCTTTTAGGCAGGTTTAGTGTAATATCAGATCAACTATTAATGATTAATTATTAAGCCTGTGAGCTATTTCCGGTTACCACCTGAGAAGAGTTGTTTTCTGTTCCTGCAGTAAGAGGAAGTGAAACTGAGATGGTCTCAGACAGTCTGTTACTAGAAGTTTGACTGAATGTCATTTACATCTTTGAATTAAAAAAATCTAAACTGTAGATTGCCCCCAATCCAGAAACCTGGGTAGCCTGTGCTGGCAGAGAGGCCCTGAGATTTTCTCTTAGAAGCACACACATTTCTAAGAAACTATTCTAATATCCAGAGCAGCGTCACATTTCCAGTGATTTCCCAGCAAAAAGGTGTGGTGTGGCTTTTGGAGAATGGAGGCTGGTGGATGAGCAGGACTTCAGTTTTGACAATAAAGTTATTATTGTTGGCATTAAAAGCTTTTTACTGAACAATATTTACTCAGGCTTGCATGTTCAGTGCTAATAGGATGAGAAAACTGCCGAGAGCGTTCTTTGCCCAACCTACAGGTCAAATTTTCCAGGAACACGCATACATTATTTAAATGTCCATACCATTCTACTTATTTCATACAGTAATTCAGTCTTGTTTAAGACTCTGTGCATTAGCAGTGCATCATGTGGGTGGAAAGAAAAGTGACAGACAGCCAAAGGTGAATTTCTCTTAGCAAAGGGATTCATTAATGGTTTCAAGGCTTTGGTCAGTGCTGCTTAAAACTACTAGCACTTCAACTTCTCAGCTTAGTGAGAAACGTTCAAACTTCCAAGCAAGTTCACTGTGTGGTGTAGTGTGAATAAATAACAGGAACTATATATTGAAAGACATTAAGAAAGAGCTAACTAATAATGTGTTGAAATATCTCCAGTACCATCGTGTAGGCTGAGGATGCTCTCAATACATAGCATTTGACCCAAGTAAGTGGAAGAGTGTTTTGTGACTCAATCTCTGACTTCTACTAAGACACAGAAAAATACTACCTTTTATATGAATTCTGAAATGTTACGCATATCTACAAGACTCAAAATCAAATGCTATAGCACAAGAAGTTGTTGTAGATAGTAAACCTGCGCACATCTGTATGAACATGTTCAGTAGTTGTCCAGCCTTGATCATAAAGATGGTAAAAAATGCATCCAGTCCTTTAGGGTTTCTTAAAGTTGTGGCAAAATTTGAAATCTACAAAAGCTTTTAATGTTTCTAAATTTAAAAGTGTGCATATTGAAATGTGATAAATCAAAATCAGTTATTGTAAATGTGTACTTGTAGTTCATTTGCAACTGCAGAATTACTACATTGTCACATGTAGGCCTCTTATCGTTACTATATTTACCACCACCTCACTGCCTGACCTATTTCCTTTTCCGATGTGGTGTAAAAACACACTCAAGTAACTCAGAACCTCTCTGACATGTATGCATGCTCAGTTGGGGATGGATGGATGGATGGATGCATTAAACCCAAGAAGAAATCTTTTAAAGGCAGAGCCACAGAGCTGACTGCCACACCTTACCTTTTTAATCTTAAAGCTATGACAGACTGTTGCTTGAACGAAACTGTTGTTGCATAGTTTCCCCAAGTTCTTTTTTCTTTTTTTTAAAGATTTGATTACTCACAATGAAGTCGATCTTAGATACTGGATCAAATGGGAATACTGTGATTAATGCACTCTGCCTGCTGTTTGTGTGGTGACTCAGCAGAGTTTGTAAATAATTCTTCAAGCAAGGCCGTGCTGCCTTTTCCTCTCTGTTTCGGCCTACATTTCAAATCCGCCATGTTAAAACTTAGCAACAAACGTGACGGGAACGCGGTGATGATGTCAAATCTTATGTTGACTTCACCGAGTGGTACATCCCTGTTAACGCTGACAAAACTGGAGACGGCTTAAATCTTACACTGTCTTAAATGCGGTCAGTAATGTTCAGCCTAACAGACTTTATTGCATAATTCAGCTTTAGCCAGCGTCTGCATCTTTGGGTACAGAATGTGCCAGTGGGCACGACCTGATGTATTGTTCTTCCTTCAGCACTGGGTAAGATGCAGTAAGGGATGATTTGTTGAATTATCTGTTCCCAACCTTCTGCCTGGTTCAACATTTTTCCCACTGTATGCTTGGAGCTATTGTCAGGTGAGAAATGTGTGTAGGCGTCTGCTCACTAAAACTTAATGACATCGCTGCAGTCTGTATTGTGCTGATTGGCTCTAGTGGTTGCTGTACCAAAGGCATATAAGGTAAAGCCATCATTTTTAGACAGAAGCGTGTTTATGGATTTTAAGGTTAACTACTGCATATGTTTAACAAGCTGCATAAAGTCTGCTGTGGCTCCAGAGGGAGCTCGGTAAAAAATCTGCATTAATTGATGTCACTTAGGTCACCATCTAGTGAGACTGCACACTAGTTTTACAGAGAAAAGTCTGGGTGTCTGGAGTTAAAAACAAGTGGCCAGCCTGTCCTCGTCTCTGCCCGAGGCGATCAGCTAGAGGCTGTATTAGCTGCTGCTATCATAACGCAATGGATCTGCATTGTGCGTGTAATGTAGCCTCTAGGGCTGCGCAAGGGAAAAATACAGAAGAAAAATTTCTGGATTTTAGTCTATTGATTTTGATATATAAATTGTCCCTCAGTAGTCTAACAATGGTATGGCAGTACAATACTTGGCCTCTTGTGAGCTTTGTATCATTGTGGAGCTGTGACTCTGCAGCCCCCAAAAAACTTCAGAAAGTCCACGTCTAAGAAATGCACAGGGCTACACTTGAGTTAAAAGAACAGAACAAAGGCGTCGCTGACCTTGTTTTTTTTCTTTTAAATATCTGATAGGATTGCACAGAATACCAGGTGGCACCTATGTGAGCAAACACTGGTGTAGAAACATGGCAGCTTGCATGTTGCTCAAATTTTGTTCACACCCGTCTAAGAGTCTTAAAGGATCAGTGGGTGTGTATAAGTGTGTATCTGGAAACTTTAAAAAATGTTTTTAATGTCAGACGTTTAGATTTGTTATGGTACCACAAGTTTTATTTTTATTTATATGTATGTATATATATATGGCTTTGCATGTCATCATTTAAACGACACCATCTGTAAGCACTTAGCAGTTCCCTTTGGCTGTGGCTTAAATGTCAACTGTGTCAGTTCTGTGTTCCTTCTTCACTAGTGGTGGTTGACTACCGCAAATTGTGTAACATTTGTCTTTGTCTTTCTTAGCAATTTATTATTATAGTCATTAGATAAACGATTATGTCAAAAATGAAGATGTATAGAGTCCTTTAAAAAAACAATCAAGTGAAATGGTAGTATCTCAAAGTATAAGAAACTGCTTTTGAATATACTAAAAAAAACACAGTAAAAGCTCACAAGTAAGCTTTGAGGCCACACCTCATGGTTGAACTTTCCTGCTTGTAAGACTGGTTAGACGACAAAGACGCGCTCAGTGACTACTGCACCCATGTGGTGAACCAGATTGATTTCTTGTTAACCATTAACAACTTTTTAAGTTTGAAGCCAGTGGTGTAATGGAGTTTGGTGTAGGTGTAGACAACCTGTCCTTGAGCAACACACCATATGCAGCTCCAAATTCATGAAACTTGAAACACTGGGGGCAATGGTTTAGATCTTCATTAGATGACTGCACTGCTTTAAAGTTAATTTGGGGCTAAAGGAAAAAAAAGACTGCGCTTTGCTAAAAGGTGTTTGCTTCTTCAATTGTTTGGCAAGTGCTTCTTTTGAACTGCGACAAGATGATGCATCTGTCTGATAACCCCTCTTCTTCTTCTTATTCCTACTGTAGTGTTTTGTTTTGTTTTTTGTGTGTGTGTTTTGTGCTCCTCCTTCTTTGGTTGTAAAGATGGGGCAATTGGTACATACCACTCAAATCTCCCCCTAAATCTCTCTCTTCTCTTCCTTCTCTACCTTTATTGCCATTGCATATAGCACATGCAATGAAATTTGTTGTCTCTTTTTAATAAAAGAAAGTTGTTTTCTTGTTAACCATTAACAGCTTTTTAAGTTTGAAGCCAGTAGTGTAATGGAGTTTGTCCAATAAATAAAAACTTCTATGTAATGATATAAAAAAGCCAATGTATAAAGATTTCAATGTGCTTGAGAGGTTAAAATCGTGCAAGAGTTTAAAGTACTTTAAAACCATACATGCCACAAAAACCCACTTAAATGCCTTAAAAATGAAAAATAAAACTTTGTAGAGGGGCTCTTACTGTGCCTTGGAGCAGCTGGAATGATGCTGGAAAACTGAGAATTGACTTTAGTTATGGCTGCTGGATTAAAAACCGTTTGTAAAACTGGAAGTACGGGTCTCTAAAGCCCTGCTACATGTTCCAGATGGCAACATTTGAGAACCATTGAGCTAAGCTAGCTAGCTAAAAATCCATTTCGTTACTATGAGTCATCTCCTGTTGCTGTGGAAACAGGTAACTTCCTTCAATACTTCTACACTTGCATCTGTCCTATTTTGTTTTTTTGTTTTTTTTTCTTTTCTGTTTATATCCACAGCCTTGAGGTGTTGCCGTAGTTGGTTACCACCAGATGCCAACAATAACGAGCCCTGTAACGGTTGCGCTCTCACTCTTGTGTGGTATCCTCACACAGAAGCTTCAGTGCTTGTGTCTTTGAAGGTTGAAGTTCTATTGCAAGGCTGTGTTGTTAAGTATGCTTGTGCATTTTTAAGCAGGCATATTTAAATGCCAGAGCTTTCTTAGCAGGTATACGCTGTAAACCTGCACATCAACTAGGCTACATTAGTTTCTGCCAACATCTTCATAGTTCAGTGTTGACTGATGGCCTACAGTCATTTAGGGTGGCATAGCTCACTGAGTTGGTATTTAAAAAAAATGCTGCATATTCAGAATGAGAGAGTATTTCCTTCTTCTAGCGAAGAATAGAATATGGTGAAAAGTATGTAATAGTTATATTGGGCTATGATCAGGGTGACTAATAAGGAGAGACCCTGGAGCACTTGCTGACCCCATATCTAATGATTCCCCTCATTTTAGCCCATGATTGCTGTTCCAGATTCCAATTAGAAAGCATGTGTGGAAGCCCTAGCTGGGCAAGAATAGGCCTTAATTGCCATGAGTTATCATCTAGACTCATGTAATTGAGCCCCCATCTTAAGGGGCAGCACATCTGACAAATTGATTTAATACCAAAGTGATTCTCCATCCCTAATGGCACTCTGGCTTCTTCACTCAGGGGCTACTGGCACTGAATTCATTGTGTGTTGATTACTAACAGGCCTAAAACCTTTCTCTCTGTCCACCCACTTGAGCGAGATTGGTAACAGACTTTCATACAGTATCGGCGCACACACACACCCTGAAGCACATGTCCATATTATGATTTCTTTATCTTGGTTATCATGCTGAATTTCTGAATGTAAGCGTGTGTGCTGCTGCGTGAATAAAAAAGGCACAGTTACTAAACTGGTTTTGTCAGTCTTGTGTAAAAACAAGTCACCTGTCTGAATTTGTCACTCCTGGAAAGTAGTCCAAAGTGTTTCACAACACACGTAACTGCTGCATTGCAGCAACATATTACTTGGAATAAAACAGTTTTTTCTACCTCGTATACAGGGAGCTCATTTCTTCATGACAGCCAATGAAACATATGAAGTTTAAAAAGTAAAGCTTGAAGAACTCACAGATGTGCTTTTCACTTCTGTTGTGGGAATAATGAGTTTGCAAAGTTGTTTCTGTAATTAAAAGTATAAAAATCACTTTGAATCTACATTTCAAAATTTCATAGAAATGGTAGGTTTGAACCATAGATGGAGAAGATAATAGCAAGAGGCAAAAATAATTTGTACCCATAACAAACCCACAGCAGACCTGGGTGCACCTTCATGCTTTGCAGCATCGTTTATTTGCTGTATACACACAGTTGGCTGCAGCTCTCTCTCGCTGCCAGCCGCACACACGGGCGACAACAACAATACTGCAGGACCCAGTTCCGTGCAGGTGCGTCCGCCTTCCCTGCACGGCACTGCAGGCCATGCCCCACCACAATACCACTCCACGCAAAAGTCAAAAACATGTATTGATCATGGTAGTCTGTACATTACATACTGAGATTTGACTTGTGCAGAGAAAAATCTACCATTAAACACTATAGGCACTACACACAGTGTAGCCACACCATAAATGACATCATCCTCTAAATGGCACCATTATTTATAATGTCAACAAGTAGTTTTTATGAAACTAACTAACAATAAAGACCATAAGCTAATTAGGAAAACCTTTATTAAAGTATCAATCAAATGAGCAGTACACTAATTCTCTAATAGATTTCTATACTGCTGACCAGAGAGAACTAGCTGGCCATTAGGATACATTGGCTTCATTTTTCAGACCCAGAGGCTATGCCCATCTTCTCTACTGTCTGTTTTAAAGACCCACTTCTTACCGGTGAATTTTGGTCACTATTTAGGAAGGTTTAGGAAAAACTAAATATTTCTCTGTAGCTCGCGGTGTAAATGTTGTCTGCACTGACAATGTGGCTTCCCTTCTGTTTGCTCACTGTGTTTTTTGTTCTCTTTCTGCATCAGGGTCACAGCAAACATGAGAGGATCGACTTTTTAACCCAAAAAGAGAAGGCACCACCAAAGAGCAAGACTGGCATCGTGATTGGTGTTGTTGTGGCACTTCTCATCCTTTCAGCCGTCGCAGCTTTCCTCATTTGGTTTTTTGTCTGTGAGTATTAAAAGCTTTCTTTGAATATGCTGTCCAGGGTGGGTGCTTGGCGTGCGTGCTTTGAAATGCTTGATAAATTCAAGATGAAGACAACTGCTGGACATTGTGTGCAGACGATCTGTCCGAAAATCAGAGTTGTCTTTGACAGAATGTAAATGGATAGTTGCGTTGTTAACATTGCTTACTGCCAAACCTTTTAGAGCATGATAAACAGAGAAGTAGATCATTTACACTTGCTGTGAAAGCACAGCTCTTTGAATGTGAGTGCAAAAGTGGCTTGTTTGGGTTTTGTAATTTCCCATTAGTGTTAGCCTGTTTGACAGCTCTGACGTTCTTTTTAATAACGCAAAGGAGAAAAATGTCACAGAGACCATGGCGCAGCTTTCTTGTCATTTACACATACGGAGCCTGATAAAAAGGCTTCTGAAGTCTTGATAAACACCGTCTTGATTTAACTGACTGTTTTAATTGCCCTGAGAAGCAAACTGTCGTCACAGCATAAGATTGCACTGTACAGTCTCAGCTTGTGCTCGAAGGCCTGTTGAAAACTTTCCCCTTTCATCAGAAGCAACCATCTCATCCCATTTTGTTGATCAAACACTTAACTCTCATCTGCTTCTCTTCCAAGTTAAAGATGCTGATTCAGATGCCGCCCTCAGTAAGCAGCTCCGTCAATCAGTACCGGTTTTTAGCGGGCGTATGACGCTGGTTAATCAACCTTATGACCAAAACCTGGAGGACACCAACAGCCCAGAATTCCAGGCTCTGGCAGAAAAATTGGAGACAGTTGTAAGTCTGACACCCTGTTTTGTTCCCTTTCTGTCATGTGCATTGTTATTGTTAACTATTTAGAGCAGAGTTTTGAGTGCTCTTCTTAAGGATTAGCACTGAATGTTGTTTGCCATTGAGGAAATGCTTTTTTAAATATGTCCATCCCAGTGCACAGAAAGCGCTAAAGGGCACATTTGTGTGGGTGGAATAAAACTCTGTGCATTCCCTGAGTAATTCCCTCAACAGCATCTCCTATTATTGGAGGCAGTGGAGATGTTTGTAGCACCACTTAGGAGAATGTTGATAACAAAAAGCCCTCCCTCAAACCCATCAAGCGCACACTTGCTCACTGAAAGCTACATAAGTGAGGGTGTTAGATGAGAATTAGAGTGGAAGTGCTGGACAAGAATATTAGATGACTAGACAATTGGATGAAAGCTTTGCGATGCGCACCCCTGCTTCCAAAAAAAGTTGGAAAGGATGCCGAGTAAAATCTAGACAATATATAATGCACTCATTTCCATATCACTGAACCCTTATATTTAATCTAAAAACAAGAACAAAGACAGCATTGCATGCTGTAAGTAAGAATATTTAAGAAAATCTACACACATTTTGAATTTGATGCAAGCAACATGTTTTGTTTTTGTTTTTTAAAGATACCCAATCACATTTACCACTGTATTGCATCATCTCTCTTTTTACCAGCACACCGAGTGTCCTGAGGATGCTGTAGTTTAGAAAGCAAGTGTTTGCTAATTCTTGCTTGATATTGGATTCCAGCTGTTCAGAGCCTCCCTTTGTTTTAGTTTCAGTCTACTGAAAAATATTATATGATGTTGTGTACAGGTACCTCAAGAAAAATTCCCCAATTTTGATTTGTCTGTCCAATCCCACTTCCCTTCAGTCCATCTTAAATGAGCTCTGACTTGGAGAATGCAGCGTTTTTCTGACCCAAGTCATTTTCGCTACTTAATCAAGTCTGGTTTTTGGTTTTGTTGAACTAATTTTTCTCCCCATTCTTGCTTCTAAAAGACTCCAGTCTGCTGTTAAAATAGATAAATAAATAATGATTAAGCTCTAATAGATGTGAAATCCTCCACTAGACATTTTTTCAGCCTAACTTTCTAGCATGTTTTTTTTCAGTATCTGATTCAAAACGGTAAATGGACCTATACTTATATAGCACTTTTCTACTCTACCTGAGCACTCAAAGCGCTTTATACAACTTGCCTCATTCAGCCATTCACACCAATTCATACAAGCACTTTTTTCTATGCTTTTTCCTGAGTAAGTGCTTTCTGTCTAACATCGCATACATTCATACGCCGATGGGTGGATCGGAGAGAAACTTGGGAAAAGTATCTCACCCTAGGTTATTTGGCACACAGACTGGGCGCAGCCAGGGATTGAACCAAAAACCTTCTGATTCGTTTTTTAAAAAATGACTGTAGTTTTCAGAAAGACCAAAATATTTCTGGTCTGTCTTTGTGCTGCTTTCAGTCACATATAATTTATAAAAAGAAGGCAAATTAAGCTTTTGTTTCAGCTCTTATCACTAACTATTGTACTAACTACTATGCTATTTATATGTTGAGTATGAACACATGCAGAGATCTTATGAATATTAAGTGGAATACATTGTCTCTCCACAGCTGGGGAACTATTTAAAGAGAGATCCAATCCTTGAAAAATACTACACCAAATCTGTAGTCACTGCATTCAGGTACTGTTGTGATCCTGAGTTCTTCTATTTTTTTTTTTTTTTTTTTTTAGTAGTGAACAGTCCGCTACAGTGCTTGTTTAGGTTTGATGTCCAAAAAAGAAAAGAAGATGCACTAAATCTCGAAGGAAGAAAATGATTGTTTTGCACAGAGGTTTTTGTTTTTGCTAGCATTACAGGATTCAATGTGGTCTAATTGGTTAATACCGCCTGGAGCTATGCTTGTAGTATTCCACCGTACTAATATATGAATCAGTGGCTAGTAGCAGTAACTAATAATATTAGCTATTTTAGCTTTTGGTATTTAGCTGTTTAGGTTTTTGTGACCTCTTGAATGCTCAAGTCTGTTTCTTTGATTCCATTTCCATTTGTCTGCTTACACCAGCGAGGGCGTGAAAGCCTACTACTGGTCTCAGTTCAACATTCCACACAGCGACCTGGAGATGATACCGGACGTTTCAGAGGAGCGGATCTTGGATGCACTGGAGAGTGGCATTAGGCAAAGCCGCTCGGCAAGTGCCCCTGATGTCAAGATCAGTCAAGTCACTGCCTCACGTATGTAACACCAGGGTCTGGTGGGGGGGGGGGGGTCACAAGACGTATTGCCCTAGTTGGTTTTAGTATTTGATTTTTAAAAATCAAGAAAGATAAAGCTTTGTGAATACAGATCAGAATAGCGTTATTGTTGTATGCTTTCCAAATTGGTATTCTGTGTGCTTTGTATTTATATTACAGGGGCTTGCTTTGAGTTGTGCTGATAAGATGATAACTGATAAGCCAGACCTCTCAGCTTGTGCTGCATCTGAGATTGCACATTTTATGCTGTTTGGATCCTCTAATGATATTAGCTGGGGCCTGGCCTCACTCGAGACAGCCATTTTTCTTCCTTCTGTCTTCTCAGCATTCACGTTGCATTTGTCCACATCCTGGCCACCAGCCAAGTGTTGGCCCTGTGACTCAGTGGTTTCGGTCCTCCTTTTAAAATGATTTCTGTGGGTATGATTTGATGTTGCTGTCCCAGATAGTTAGACAGAGATGTATGAGTTGCTGCTGTAGGGCAAGGTGAGATGGAGCAGAAAGAGCTACACACCATCACCGGTTCCCTTAACCGCAGGGAAATGGAACAGAAAATGTGCAACCCAAATATTTTAGGCTCATGCATCAAATTCTATCAGCCTCCCAACTTTAGTGACCCATTCTTACCTTTCCTTCTGTTTCTCTGTCACCCACCCCCTCTCTCTGTCTCTAGTCACGGATTCTCGTATGGCCAGGGACCCAAGAGCCAGTGAGTACTGCATGTCCCATTTCAATCACTCGCAGTTGTAATTTTCCAGCTGGCTTGATGCTCACGCTCCTGCCAGTCTGTAACGAATGACTGGTCTATCCTGTACTGTACATGTGCTGCTGCTATAGTCAGAGATTGAGAACTGAGTATCAGGCAAGAGTGAGACACTTTTCTTTGACTCCGTCTGATGGGTTCTAACGTTCAGATGTATTATTTTGCATTACCGTAATTGCCGTCCTCACGTTAACATCAAGTGACGGTATAGAACTAACTACTGATGACTTATTTCTTCAGGCAAAAGTCTATTCATTTATTTACAATATTTGTGTAAATGTGTTTTACAAAGTCACTACAGGCCATGATGATGATTATGTTTTCTTTTGGCTGTTTCCTAGTGCCACATGTCCCTGCACACTCTGATTTAACCAGTGTTCTCATTCACAGATGATTGTTTCTACCGTCTGGAAGCTGACACAAATCCCCAGAATTTTTCATCTCCAGGGTACCCCACGGGCTACCCCCCCAAGTCACGGTGTCAGTGGCAAATCCGAGCCTCGGAGGAAAACGTTATAGTTGTCAATTTCCTTTATTTCTACATTGAGGATGACTGCTCAGACGACTTTGTCTACATCTATGACTCTTTGAGTCCAGACGATTCTCAGGCCATTACAAAGTAAGTAGTGGTGTAAATATCCAGAAGGCTTGTGGTAGGAGTATGAATAATGATTCTTTATTAAAGGAAATTAAAGGATAATACCACTATGCCATTTACTAGCTAAATGTCTTTTTGTTGTTACTGCCGTATTCCCTGTGAAAGAAATTCCATTATTTAAAAAAATACAAAAAATGTGATCAAATATCGAGTATGATATCAAATAAGCCATAACACCTATCAACATGTTGGCTTTTCAGCCCATTAGTATAAAAGGTGGTCAATTGTGCACTTTTCATAGAGGTCTGCTGTGCATTTTTCCACAGACACACCTGTGTATTTGCCTGCTAAACTACCAAAAACTGCGTTTGTAGTAGTTCCCACTATGCTGTGTATCTTCAGGACCACATTATGTCATGACTAATACAGATAAGGTGACAAAAAGTAAACCAGTTAATTGAGCTTTTGTTTCTACAGTACATCAGGTAAACTGTAGTATTGCTGTAAACCTTGGTAAGAGGATTTCTACCAACATTTGTCTTTTTAGTCCCGATGATCAAAGAGATTCACAGAAGAGAACTGGTTACTTTATGTTTGACTTAAAGGTTGCAAAAGGATATCTGAACAAATAGTTTCTTGATGTAGGTGGAACATGTTCCACTCCAATCCTTTCACTGGATTTTTGATTACATTTTTTGGGGGCTCTGAAAGCCTTTAGTGCTATATGTCCCGTTTATTGTCAACTTCTGAGACCTTGGTGAGATTGAGTTGGCTCAAAAGGGACCTCTCCTTTCAAACGTGTGAAAGGTGCCACCCTGAATCCTGCTACAGCACTGTCTGTAATTGCACTTTGTGATCAGTGGGATGGATATGATTCTGAAACTACAAGCTCCTGAATGCAACATCAGTTGTAGCTGCAGGCAATTTCAAACCCAGAAACCACTGCCAAACACATGCGTGTTACCAAGTGATGCATACAATTTTTATAATACTATTGAGTGATCAGCTTTATCCAAGGTGACATGAGGTTTATGAGAGCCATAATATAATACTCTGTAATGACATTATTCTACTGAGGGTAGATGTATTGCTGCTCTTGCAGCGTCATTCACACCTCCGTGGCTCTGATGCTAAAACTTTTTTGCTAATGTTCCCATTGTTTGACTTTGAAAGTCGGCCTAAGCAATTTCTGTCCATCTCTCTGCTTCATTTTCTCTTTCTCCACTTCCCTCTGCTTATCTATTGATTTCTTCTCAAATTATTATTATTATTTTTTTTCTATGAAGCATTTTAAATCTGTTTGCTGTATCGGTGTTTTAGTGCTTCTGGCTAAAAATGCATACAGTTACGTTTGCCCTCTCTTAGTTGGAGCACGTAATCTCCAGTCAATAAATGCATCAGACACATGACTTGGCTTCATGGTTGTCTTTCCTGTTTTCAGACTGTTTTTTGGTTTCCATAATCATAATCAATTTTGTTTACCTTGCTGCTTTACCGCTTCTCCTTGGTTCACAGGAAGTGTGGTCAGAGGCCTCCTTCTAACCCTCTGGAGGTTGTGTCATCTAACAACATCATGCTGATTAACTTTATAGCTGAGACTGATGCTCAGAAGCCTGGCTTCCAAGCCGCGTACAGTGTGATCCCCAAGGCTGATGGTAAAAAAGCAGACATGCATCTAGATGTGCCAAGATGTTACCTTTACACGTAAATCCATGACAAACTCGAGTATGTTCTGTAAGAATCTAAATGTATGACATGTTCATTTCAGTTACGTGTGGTGGCAGCCTTTCTCAAAAACAGGGAAACTTCACTTCCCCACTTTACCCAAGCTTTTATCCTCCTGCTAAAGACTGCAAGTGGACCATCACGGTATGTACCACTCTGCCTTTCCCCAGCCCCTCCTCTGCTTGAACCTTTACCCCCCCACACACCCCCTGCTCCTCCTCCTTCACCATGCTTAGCCTGCCATGAGAGAGATGCTGAGGCAGCACTACTGCTCAGTACCTCTTCTATCTTCATCTGTCAGACTGCTGTTTCTACTGCAGTTCTAGCTGGGCTGCAGTGTTTTGTGTGTTCGGTTGAGTTTGTTGGTGTGCATGTAGTGTGTGCGTGTGCGCGCTCAGTTCCATGATAGCTGTGGCTTGGTGTGTATCTTAGTTCTGTGTGTGAAGGGAGGAAAAAAAAAAAAAGACAATCAGCTATTCTTTTGTATTACAGGTCGCTCCTGGGAGCAAAGTACGGCTGAGGTTCACCATGTTTCGCATGAAAGAGCCTGGAGTGGACACGCATTTATGTCACAAAGACTATGTGGAAATTATGGGAAACAAGTAAGATATTCAGTTCCTCATATTGATGTCCAAAATAACACAAAGTTGATTCTGATACCTTTTTGTTTCTGTCTTTTCCTCATTGTGCCAAGGCCACAGCGAAATATTATTAGAATGTGAAAACTAAAATGTGGTATTAACAGGTTCACATTTGGTGTGTATCCTATCAACCTGTGACATCATGATGCACCAATAGCATAATTACCTCTGACCAGTTAGAATCATGTGGTTTTTATAGCTTTATCACGTGAGGAGAGATAAGAACCTAATAAAGATGAGGTTGTATTGGAGGATGGGATCCAACATGCGACTTTCATCCACAACAGTTGGTTTTACGTCCCATATGAAATGTGGTATTTTTCATTTTTAGTTGCAGGAGTTGTAATTATTGGCAGTATTTTCATCTAAAAATATCAGCTAAATATGTTTTTCAAAAAAAAGCCTTTCTGGGATTCCTTCATGGCATATAGAAGGTGAATTTGTCCATGTGCTGTTTTGTTCCTATAATTTCAAACCTATGAGATTTTGTGATCAGTGAGTAACAGTGATGGTCGTGGAGAAGTAATTTTATTTGCTAATAGGCCAATACCAGTCAGGTGTTGGCTGATATATGTACTATATCTACGCATATGTATATATCTGTTAACAAAGCTGTTTCCTTACTTCCTGGTCTGCTTTGACTGCCTTGTGTATTTTCCTTGTTTGTTTACAGTAAACTGGTTTATTTACAACTTTTCTGTCTTGTGCTGCCTCTTCAGAATCTGAGCAATTACTTTTTCACCAAAGCTGCCATAACCCTATCCAAAACTTAAACTGAATTTTGCTTTTGTGTTCCAGGTATTGTGGAGAAGTTGCATCGCTGTCTTTGACCTCTGACACCAACGTTCTAGTGGTTAATTTCCACTCTGATAGGTCTCACACTGACAAAGGCTTCAGTGCAGAGTACAGTTCCTATGATCCTTCCAACCGTAAGCCTTGTCTCTCAACTAAATTTACACAACATGTTGTGTTATGAGTGAAATGTCTGTCACAATGTGACGGTGACGGCTGTGAGACTGCACAGTAACCATGCTGTTAGATGGTAACTGACTGGTAGTCAAACGGAGCTGTTCATTGTTGATGCTTTCTCATCTGTGGCAGGGAAACTCAAGAGCGAGTCTAATCACTGAAGAGCTTATTTACTGACTCCCTTTTATTTGTCACTGTCAGTCAGGAGCACGTCACTTTCAATACTCTCCACTCTTTGTTGTCTCCAAGTTTGACTAAAATGAATTTATAATTGCTCTGATCAACAGGGGCAAGCATTGGCAGCATGACTCGTCTTGTGAAAATGCATAACTCTGTTTTGCTCAATTTGTCACTATACCCCCCCCCACCCACCCATGTTTTCTATGTGTTATGGGATAAGCTTGCCCTGACCGGTTTGCCTGCACCAATGGCCTGTGCATCGACCAGAAATTGAAGTGTGATGGCTGGAACGACTGTGGTGACATGAGCGATGAGAGGCAGTGCAGTAAGTTCGCCTTTATCCCTGCCCCGCTTTTCCTACCTTTATTCCTCAGAACTACTTCTTTTGGCATCCTTATTTGTGAATTTCCCAATCATTCATGTATACATCTTCTTAAGATGAATTGTTGAAATTTCTGTTGTTTCAGATTGCGATAAGGACCAGTTCGCTTGCAGTAATGGCATGTGTAAACCGAAACTCTGGGTGTGTGATCATGTCAACGACTGTGGGGATGGAAGTGATGAGAAAATATGCGGTAAGTATTCCCACCTCTTAGAGGACTCTTCAGGAAATGCAAAAACCCTATTTAGCCTATTTGCTGTGCTAATTGTGTTAACATTAAAAGTCCATCACCCCTACTACTACGGCCAGTGACGACTTGGCTGTGTACGCTCATTATTCTATCTAGAATGGAGTTTGTTTGAAGCCTTGCCCAGTCTGCTCAGCGTCCTGTCAGATGCTTAATCATATACAATACATGCAAGAACTCTGGAGGCAGATTTTAATGGCTCCTGTGGCTGCACCACTAATGTCCTTCTAGAACTCATTGGATTGTCTTTTGTTCAAGTTTTTATTTATTTATTTATTTTAAAATTTTATTGCAATTTCTTCACCTTGTGTTCTATTGCCTCAAGGTTGTGCCCAAAATGAGTTCCAGTGTGGGAACGGGGTTTGTCTGCCACAGAGTGTTCAGTGTGATGATAAGCAAGACTGCAAAGATGGGAGCGATGAGGTTGGTTGTAAAACTGGTGAGTGTCTTCTGTTATTCTCTTCCCTTAAAAATCCCGCCAACATTAATGATTTATTTGGGTTGTTTGTTTTTAAGCATCTTACACAAACCATTAAATAATGAACCTTGATCCACAGCTCAGCAGTTATAGCAGTTTAACAAAGACGTTTCTCTGAAGACCTGATTCTTAACCCGAAACATTTTATGTTAGCTTTGTGTTTCTTTTTGTTTCATTCCCTCCTACTCTGTACTTCGCTCTTTATCAGCTTCCCTTTCGCTCACTCAGACACACACAGGGGGCACCCTTGCGTTTCCTTTTGATTCTCACTTCTGTGAATAAAGAGGGATATTAGACCTGAACCCCAATCAATATGTCCAATCAATGCAATCAGCTCCTCAATCACTCCGCATTGTGTATTCAAGCGTCACTTTGAAGCCTCTCTGATTGCATACTGTTTTACTGGTTAAAGCGCGTTTTGATTTTGGGACGTGTCTCCACCCCACTACAGATACGAGTATATGCACTGACTATAGCTTCAAGTGTAAGAGCGGAGTTTGTATCAACAAGGTGAATGCCGAATGTGACCGCGTCCAGGACTGCTCTGATAACTCGGATGAGACCATTTGTGGTAAGACGTGCCTTAATTCCTTCACCTCTTGCGAGATTTGGGTTTTTAAAAATTGCTGCAAGTGGTCCTAATCTCTTCACTGCCATTCAGGTTAGATTGGAGAGGCTGGGCTGAGCTGCATGTTGGCTGTCTGTTAGAAAAGAGCCCCAGGCCTCGACTGCTTTTATTTCATTCTTTGAAAGCAGCTCTTGTTATCTCTGAACTTTTTTTGGGTTTTTTTTACCTACATTTCAGCCTCAGGCTTTGTCTGTATTTATTAATTTAATTTCTTTTCTTTTTTGTTTTGTTTTTTGGATCGGCTAATACGCATGTATGCCTTTATTAAGATTCCAAAGAGTCATTATTACATTTGAAGCCAGGTTTGGCATCATGATGGCTTTAACTTAATCTCAGTTTCTGATTTTTCTCTCTTGCTTCCTCTCTGCCTCTGTTATATTTTCTGTCAAATTACAGATTGTGGCACCAGGCCTTACAAGCTGAATCGCATCGTAGGAGGGCAGAATGCTGAGCTAGGGGAGTGGCCTTGGCAGGTTAGCCTTCACTTCTCAACCCACGGGCCGACTTGTGGTGCCTCAATCATCTCTAACACGTGGCTTCTTTCGGCCGCTCACTGTTTTGTCACCAGCAACTCAGAGTAAGTCACAGATCCGTAGCACTCATACACAACTGTAGTTCTCTCTGTGTAACATACAAAGTGTGCAGAAAAAAACCCAGAGTTCGGCAAAAAATTGCAGAAGGAATCTTGGTGGTGGTGGTGGTATCCTGGGAATGTTTTAATCAGAGTGCCCTATAGGTGGTGCACTAAGCATACTGTTCAGACTGAGACAATTGAATTATGACTGAGCTTGAGATGGGTTTATTTTCACATATTTGCCATACAAAGCATTTAGTATTCCTAACAGTTCTACACATTTTATTTTTTGAATAATTTCTTAATCCAATCTAAAAGTTAAATGCAAAACTAAGCATGAGTGTAGCAGGAGCTGCATTTGTGAAGTTTTAAATAAAAAGTTTTTGTTTAGCGTGTAAGACAGGTCTGGTCATTTTTGTGTGACACCAAAAAATGTGAGATGTTTTTTGCTTTCAGTTCAAGACTTTTTTTTTTTTTTTTAAATTTATTTATTTTGGTCAAGCTGACAGAACCAACAGCAGTGATTAAAGTCTTAAATGTTGTTGCAGGGCTGTTGTAATGGATTACATTAGATTATGCCATGCTTACTCATATTTCTTCCCTATTTTATACCTAAATATATAAAAATGTCAAACTTTCCTCCATGATACTGTACTACCGCAGGAGCAACAATCCATCCAGCTGGCTGTCCTACAGTGGCATGCAGAACCAATACAGCCATGACAACGTGCAGTCCCGCAAATTGAAGAGAATCATCCCCCACCCGCTCTACAATCAAATGACATCTGACTATGACATTGCTCTGCTGGAGCTCAGTGAACCTCTGCAATTTGCCAATACCATACAACCCATCTGCCTACCCGATTCCTCCCATGTTTTCCCAGCAGGCATGTCCTGCTGGGTCACAGGCTGGGGCGCTCTCCGAGAAGGAGGTATTATAAGTGTAATGGTGATTCTCTGAACAACTGTAGTCATTTTAAATTTAATTTAAAAAAAAAATCATTTATGTATTTATTTTTTGGTGACCCACTCTGTTCTTTACATTCCATTCACTGTCCATACCGTTTCCTAATCTCTCCAATCACGACATACTCCTCTTGCACTTGTTCTTGTATCCCTTTCTCTAATCTACTTTATTCCCTATACATGTATTAACACAGACATCGGCTCTCCTGTGTCACTTCTTAAACCTTCATTAGCTAACATTAATCTACCCCGTTAACCAGTTACTGTAGAAAACAGTCATTGGTTTATACCTTTTTTATGACAGCACTGGAAGGCAAGGTCATGTGACACAGTACTGATCCCTTTGTCGTACTCTAGCAGGTCAAGCTGCACAGATTTTACAGAAAGCATTAGTGAAAATCATCAATGACTCCGTGTGTGACGTGGTCACAGAAGGCCAAGTCACCTCCAGGATGCTCTGCAGTGGATACTTGTCTGGAGGAGTTGACGCATGCCAGGTGAGATTGTGTGCACATTTCCTAAAGGCATGGAAAAAAAACCCAATTTGTTGATGTGGGCAGATCGCATCCAAATGCAGTCTAACAACCATTCTCCTCCAACCGTGATCACCAGGGTGACTCTGGAGGCCCCCTGGTGTGCTTCGAAGAGAGCGGGAAGTGGTTCCAGGCGGGCATTGTGAGCTGGGGAGAGGGCTGCGCTCGTCGGAACAAGCCTGGTGTCTACACGCGCGTCACCAAGCTCAGAGAATGGATTAAACAGGAGACAAATATTTGATGTTTGTGTGGGGAACAGGCTGGGTTGCAGAGTTAACCCATCCTGTTGCTCAAGGTCATCAGTGCTTTAAAAAAAACCCATCAGACTAAACATGTTATTCTGATCAGAACAAAGCTACTCGCATCAGCTACTTGACTTCAGGCATGGTATTTTATGTAATTTTTAAAGACGATCTTTAGCACAATGAGCATAGTTACCCCCATCAATTCATGACCTCTTTAAGCGGTAAATACACAGAGAAATATGAAATATAGTTTGTGAATTATTTTTTTCACTCTTTTTGTCCAGTGTGACTGTTTTAAGGGATTCAGAGTGTTTCTGAGTACATTATCATACTCTGGAAAGTGGTTGTATTTGAAAGTTTTTAATGTGATTTTTTTTTTTTTTTTTTTTTTTTTCTCTTTTGTGAGATGCTTTCATCCTCTTGCTGCAGTAAATATTGCCAGTAAGCTCATGCGGTAAGTGGCTATAAATTTATGGTTTTATGTAATGGCAGAAGTTTCTTTAAAAACAAAAAAACAATAGCTACAATAAAAACAAATAACACAAGAACAAAAATCCAGGTAGGGGAATTTTCATATCCTACTAAAATGAATGAAAACCAAAAACTGCCTTGAAGGTAGAAAATGCAGTAATCAATCTAAAAGCCCACAGTTTGCTTTGGAAAATGGCCAGCAATAAAGTACACCGGTTTGTAGTCAGCAGTCTGAAAATAGGAAAAACACTAGCATGAGCATTGAAGAGTTAGACTGGAGTGATTCATAAAAAGTTGTAGCAACCCAGATCAGTTTATTTGTTATTTATAGAGGGCCCTGCCGGTGAATGATTAGGCAAAATCTCATACTCAAGAGAAGGGCAGAGGGTGGTGTTTAGGTCTTGCTGGCTTTTGCACATGTCTGCAGTTAAGCTCAGGGCGACTGGGGTCTTCAATCACACAGCCTGAGTGTAAATCAGTGCGGTTTTCACTAGTTGCAAGAGCAATGCAATCCATTCTTCACCGTGAGAGCTTCCTCTGTTTGATCACGACCCAACTTCACCTTAAGCAACATATCTGACCCGATGGTTTATTCTAACGCAACTGTTATACTCAGGATAAGAACTAGAATTTTCCAAGGATTATTTATTGAAGGGGAGGAAATATTAGAATAAACAATTGGCAGGGTTATATACATATGTAAATGTGTTTTGTTTTGTTTTTTCAAAATATGTATGTAGAAAGTTGGGAGAGGCTACAAATTTTAGAAGATATTTTCATAAGCATTGTATACAAACTGTGACTTGGATTATGGACCTTTTATTCTGTGTGTGTGTGTGCGTTTGTATCTATTTTTATATGAGTCATGATAATAAACATCTTTTATCTGATTCCTCTGCACCTAATTACATTACCTGTATCATTTGTCTTTGATGGGGCCTTGTTTTGTATTATGTTGTGCATAATGAATGCAGGCCTTGTGAGACTTTGTCCCTTCTCACAGTAGACTTGTAATGAGCGTGTTCTTCTCCTCCCTGTCGTGAGCAGCGGGCCTACCTGGGGAACAAAGGTGACAGGGCGAACTCATATTGTCAAATAATACCTACCTTTGTCGCAGCTCTATCCTGTTACCCTTCGAGATAGGCGCGTTGGCTTCAGGAGGTGGATACACATACAGTGGGGGTTCTACTATCTCATCTGTCTTCATTAAAAGCAGCACACCACTGGGGGAATAGGAAAATCAACATAGACAGTGCTGCTAATTTATGTATTCATCATTTTTGCTACATGGGAGGCTTTGTTTTTCACTGTTCCCCATGCCCAATGAAGCAGCTCACCAGGCTGATTAACTCAGAGGATTCACACGAGCCGTGTTCTTTATCGGAAATGGTTTTATTTAAATATAAATATGTGTACAAAGGTACAAGCAACAATAGCTCTTTTTTTTTTTTTTTAGCAAATAAAATTCTTAATACAATATTAAAAGAATGAACAAACAAAATGGCAATTAGTTGTGTTCCAAAGCATGGTAACTGCATTCAGAGGAATGATGAACAACTCAGACAAGAAAATGTGTGAATACCAAATAAAATAAACAGATAGATACATATGTATATAAAGATACTTTACAGTAGAGCAGCTTACACGCTGTACTTTAAGGCGTATACAAAATAGAAAAATAAAGACAAGCGATGATGTTTGCCTCCTCACTTTAAGTGACATTTGTTCTCTCATTAGGCTGCCTGGGAACGTTTCATTTCTTTCTTTATATTTTTAGACAAATGGCAGTACAAGCGTCCACACCAAAAACGCCCAGGAAGTGGAATGCGGCCGGGTCAGGTGCAGTAACCGATGTCTCGAACATGAAATGGACATGAATATAAACGCTGAAGAGTTTCACTAGACACATCATTTGCATGCAACAGAGAGAAAGTATGGACTTAGCCATTTGTACAGATACTCAGTTTCAGGGTAGTACTGTTTCTTGTAAACATAGCGAGACGATTTGATTGAGTTGAGTTGTAAAACTTGAGAGCGGGTGGTCCCCCGTCAGGACCGCCTTCCACATCTTACCCCACCTAAGCCTGCCGAAGTTGATTCTGCGTTCAAGTTTATTTCAAGTTCAAGATTGCCACCATTTTCCAAAAAAAAAAAGAAAAAAAAAAGACCACTTTTGATTGTTCTGGTAAGTTCCTACTCTTGATTTTACAATCAGAAAGTACAGCAGGAAACGATGCAGGGGTAGATCAACAGTTTTCAACATCAGCCCCTATTTTTATTACCTATACAATTTGTTACCATCTTTGGGTTTTCACTGCCTTAACTTGTCCGTGTCAGTACAACATAGAGTCCTCCATTAAAAAGGAAGGCAATATGCACATTCTTCTCTCCCCACTGGCAGACAACACTTTGTGTCCAACGTGTTAAGGTTATCACGAGAGGCTCCAGAAACACAGGTCAGTCCAGATGTATTCCACTTACAATAGAGTGCCTGTAGCACTTGTTGGTTAGTGCAGCTAGCCTGTTGTGCAGAATAGTTCATGTCTGTCTCTGTGGATAGCTCAGTCATTTGTAGATGATAGAGACACAAATGTGCTTACAATTCCTTTCGCATGCCAACGAAAACATCAAAATGACAGACAACAAAGGTTCTTCACACCTTTTCACCCCCCCCCCTCCTCAAATACTGTACGTGTTAGCTCGTACTGTCTTCTTTCAAAGTATTTACGAGGTTATGTTTACAATTAGTGTTGACACAAAGTAAACTCTGGAATGCAGGTAAACAGCTACCCCAGTCGTTTTGGCCACCCAAATTTAAGGGATGCATTTGATTTATTTTCTGGTTGACCCACGAACTCGCAGAACATCTCCACAAGTTTGGGTGGTCATCATGTAGAGACAACCTAGTGAGGTATCGCACTGTAATGTTCATCATATGCTTGACTTGAACATCACAATCTGCTTAATTTTCTAGCTCTACAAGTTCACATTACTGTAGATGCTGCCGTCCATCGCAGGTTGGTTATTCATAACCGAAATCATGCCTCCCTTCTTATACTGTCCTAACAAATCCTTGCAGGACTGTCCGAGTAAAGAAAGTTCATGTTAGTCCGCCCACACATGTGGTGACAAATAGTTATCTACTCACTGCTTCTTTACTCTTTTTTTTTTTTTTGGCCCTATCAGACATGAGTCTGCATACGTTGCGAGGGCCGGCCATAGTCGGACTGCTGGGAGGACACTTGTGACGAGGCGTAAGAGAAGCGAGATGAGCTCGAGACCTTGCTGGCCTGATCTGATTGGTCGTACGCATCCACCTTCTCATAGGAAGCAGGCTTAACATAACTGGTGAAGGCGTGGCCATAAGTAGCAGGTAGGTAAGCAGTGCCACTGTAGAGGGGGTCAGTGGGATAAACTCCCCCCTGCTGGGCAGGCTGCTGCTGGGCAGCTTGCTGCTGTTCGTATGAGGTTCTGCTCACTGTGGTGGTTGCGTATCGGTGGGAGAAGTCATAGGCACGGGGTTGGGTGCCGTGCTGACCGTACACGGGGCTGGGGGAGGGCAGCTGCGATGGAGTGTAGACCGGCCGAGAATTGGGCACGTATTCAGAAAATCCGCTGCCGCGAATATGACGGTCGTCGTGGCCACGAACATTGTAGTAACCATTGGTAGGATCCTTTGAAAAAAAACAGAGGGAAAAAAACATCAATTTGACTTTAGTTCAGTATCATGTGGAAAAAAAGCATGCTTGCTATTTTGAGAGTTTCTTCAAGGAAGTGTTTTTCAGTTTTACCTTGATGTCCGATCTTTCGTCCTCCTCCTCTTCCAGGAGGTCGCTGTGTTCTGTGCGCGATGTCCCGGGAGACTCGCTGCTGTTTGGAGCCTGAGGGAAGACCAAGAATTATTAGGATGAACAAGACCTTACTAGAATAAGAACAAAAGAAAGCCTGAACATTACGTTATAATAGTACTGATTTCTCTCTCACAGTCCATGGAGATGTTCGACATACAGAGAAGCTGAACAAAATAGACCTACCATGGGTTCTTTGACATCTTCCTCGTCGTCGTTGCCGCGTGTAGCATTGTGATCGCTGTGAACAATCTGAACTCTGATGTCACTCTTGGAAAGACGAGTGCATCTTTTGCCTATGGGAAATGAGAACAGATTCACTCAACATTGCGAGGAAGATTTGTAAATCCAATTTACACGAAGCTTTCTATTCAAACTCAAGGTGAAACGGCACAAAATTGAACATAATCTTTTCAATTTTCAGCTCGCAGGCACTTTATTATGTTCGATTTGAAGAATTGGCTGTTGACCCTCCTGCCCATACTAACCGTTGAGCTCACCTTTGCCTGTGTGCCTGCAGCAGAGGGAGACCAGAGTGATGACACAGATGAGCAGGACACAGCCGCCACCTACTGCCCCACCTACAATTATCAACATCGGCAGTGCTTCTGCAAGAACAATGGTAACAGAAGAAATGCGTGGCAAAGAGGGTGAGGGTCGATGGTTTGTCAAGAGATGGGGAAGGTATGAAATGAGAGACAGCAGAACATAAGTGTCTAGGAAAGTGCATATTGGAGCAAATGAAAGGAACAGAAGAGATTCTGTTCTCTTTTTTTTTCTTGCCTAGCTAATCTGAAAAATGCTCTAGTGCCCATAAATTGATCTGCAGTAAGCCCTGATCTTCTCACAGTGACTGTAACATATGCTCATGTGGGCAATCCAGCATCTCACAGCCTGGCTATTGTCTCTAATCTCTCTGAAAGAAGGGTAACAAGGCCTGACATGCAATGAAGCAATAGACAGTAATCTAATTAGAGATTCCAGGAGATAGCGCTGCCCATTTCTCTGGAGACCCTGCTCTGCTACGTTGATGTAAATTACTGGCGAGGACCTCATTTTTGGTGTCTACTGCAACAAAGGTTTCCCCTAGCATCAGTGGAGTCGTACCACCGCTGTTTAATTTTAAAACCACTTAAGGGGCCTGCAGCCTGAGATGCTGAGCTTGGCTATAAGACATTGATAGAGACTATGATCCCAGCTGCAAACACATGTGGCTTCCTCTAATTGACTTTTGTCCCTAATCAATATCTATGTTATGGGGCAAACATATTCATTAAAGAAGCCATCTGCTGATTAAATCATATCGATTAGAAGAGCATAATTAAGATAAGCACGAGACGGGGGCACTACTTTTACCCAATCTTCACAGCAAGAACCGAGACTATCGCTATAACTCCTGTGCAGGAGTATTACTCTGGCCCGTGTGTACCTTGCTCCTTCAGCGTGACCAGGGCAGTGCCTGTGCCGAAGCGGTTCCAAGCAGTGCAGTTGTAGCGCAGCTGGAAATCTTGTGAAAGAGTCTCAGATAGCACCAGAGACGACACGACTCCGTGGTCACTGGTTACTGTCTGCACTGAGTAACGACCGGAGGAGCCGGAGGACAGGCTCATGTCCCCAAAGGTCCACACCTGTGGAGAAGAGTGAGAGAATAGACAACAGGGGGTAAGTCATTGTTCTATAAAGAATCCTTCACCTGTGAGCAAAGCAGAAGCCGGCACGGCTGTTTATCCTTAGATCCCTGCCTGCTGCTGTGTGAACGCCGGCTCTCTCTCTCTTGTGCTTTTTCCCTGCTGACCTCTGAGGTGCTCGGTGTCTGACACAACTCACGGACTCATGTTTAAGCTGCCTCCCACGTTTGCCCTGCAGGTGAAGCCTAAGGAGGGTTAGGTAGCTACACTGGGAAATAAGGCTACTTTTTGCCGCGTCTAGCACAGGGCCAGCAGGGCACCTGTCTCTCACTTCTCCTCGCACCCTAATTATCCTCTCTCAGCCCAGCGTACATTCAGCAGTTCAACAGGGTCAGACGACTGATGCCTCTTGGGCCGCTAATTGAATGTGGTCTGGCTGAAACCTGCAGGAAGCCATTCTTTCAGCAGCTCCGATAACTCCACAATCATTCCGGTCAGTGTCTGTGTATATGTTTTGTTTTAGCAAGCGAGGTGGAGATGTGCTGGTGCAAAGGTGTAGAGGTGAGGTTAGGGGTAAAGCTCATGTTAGTGATGCTGCTTATGTGGGCGGGGTAAGGAAGGGGGAGTATGTACAAACTGAGTGTGTGAGCTAATAAGCATTAGTGAATGACAACACACAACACAAATAAGAGGATCACTTACAATCTTATCAGGTGGGGGGCTGCTTCCCACCCGGCACTCCAGCTTGCCCTTGGAGTGTTTGACAGCGTGCTGTGTGGCCTCTGCTGTGATGATAGGTGGACCTGTGGGCAGATGAAAGAAAGTGAAGGAAATAAAGAGAGTTTTAAAAAAGACGTACAAGTGCAAGCATACAAAAAAACTAGACAGTAAAGTGGTGTTAGAAATAGAAATATATATCTATAGATGAATAACTAAGTAACCATTTCCTATATCAGGCCCATCCATTGGCACAAAAGATAAATCTGGTATGTATTAATCTCATGACTTTTCTGTAATCTTTGCTCTTTTTCTGAAATGTTTCATGAGAAAACTCTGCTTTGGTGTTTGAAACTATTGAAAATACTAAAAAAAATTTTTTAACTAAACAAGTAACTAGACACAGCAGTTGTCAACTGAATGAGTAAAAATAAAAAATAAAAATATAAGTTTTTAAAGTAATGAGGAGTAAATTTAACATAAAAAAAAAACATACTTAAGTGATTAATTTTTTTCTTTTGTTCTTTAAGAAACTTCTCACCATTTACAGTTAGAGTGACATCTCTTTCTGCAACTCCAATACGGGGTACAATGGCCTTGCAGGTGTATGTGCCAGCATCCTCCTGAGTAACAGCCTTCAGCTGCAAGGTGTTACCATTACTGAGCACCTAGTGAGAAATCCAGGGAGACAAGTGAGAATATGTTAGAGACAGAAAGAGACAGAAAGAACAAGGTGGTGAGCAGAAGAGGCAGGCGAAAGCAAAGTGGGACCTTTATCAGTGGCCCACTCACTGTGCAGGCAGCACAGAGGTGGGCTGACCATTGTAACAAATGCTGGTGGTTTGAGTTTAATTTCATTGTGAAGAGCTTTAATCACAGCATTAAGCACTCCAGCCACCGCTGAGTGACCGTGCTGCTGTGGAGATTGTTGCAATTAAACAGTGGGGACAGAACGAAGCATGTGTGAGTGGGCCCTAGCCTTTGGAGCTGCTACACTCACTCACTCCTTAGCTCATTGATCCTGTCATTCCATCAAGCTGTGATTAATCCATTTACCCCCGCGCCATCCTCCTCCCTCCCTCCATCTTCACATCTCCCTCTCACTCTACATTTTTTTTAATTTCACCACGCTTATGGAGTAACCCAATTAATCTATTACTCATGGCTGTGTGAGGGACAGTGGCAGTGGGTGGATTAGAAAAAATGTCTGCACCATTCCCTGAGTGTGGCTGAAAGCATTCTCTCTTTAACATGACAGCATTGCTTATGCCATCCCACAGCATTCTTGACCGGGGGTGCTTTTTCCAGCATAGCTTCAGAAATTACATTAGTTGCCAAGAGAGATCTCCTATGGGATGCCCCCACTAATGGTGTGCACGCTAGAACACTTTTACCAGCATGATGTAACGTGAAGGTGGAAGTGTCCCATTTGTTCCACCTGCAAAATTGACTTTAAGGAGATAGATACGCAAGCGTAGCTGGGCCTTTGTGCTGTCGAGAGGCAGGAGATACTGCTCTAAAAGTTACAAGTACAAGTACTGATTCTCCCCTTGAATGAGTGATTGATTGACCGATTGATTAAGTCGGGATTGTGACAACGTGTCGTGTGCTCTGATGGTGCTCTATGAATCTGTCATAGGACAGGCAGTTTTCTGCCAGAGGCTTTAGCCCTCAGGGAGAGTGGTTAGAGGAGGTGTTGAAGTTTCTGCCTGAAAAAAGGAAGTGTGGGAAAAAGTGTGAGGGATTCATGCCTCAAGGCCATGTGTGAATGTTTCTCTCCGGAGGAATGGTGCTGAGGTGTGGTGCTGAAGCTTTAGCATCAAGAAAATATGCTGGTGACTGGCTTTTTTTGTTGTTGTTGTTGTTGCCTTACCACACTGGAGCCTTGCTTGGTCCAAGCCAGGGTCAGAGGAGGGTTTCCAGTCCACGCACAAGTGAAGGCTGCATCCATGCCTGTATCCACTGTCATGGGCTTCGGCTCCGACAGCAGTCTGGGGCCAACTAGAAGGGAAGCAATGCAGGCGGCCAGTTAGAATCAGTAAGAGACTTTTTTAAAAAAAGCTGCTCTACCTTCAATATCTGAAAACACAGACCACACCGCGTACAGTGTTTGCCTTCAGTTAAACTTACACTGGACATCAACCAGAGTGCTGACATTGGTGCTGCCCACAGAGTTGGACACCTCACAGGAGACGGGGTCTGTGAAGTAGGAGTAGTCCACTGTCACCTCAAGGCTATCCCCATTTGCTTCGGAGATGGGGACTCCTCCTTTCGACCACCTGGAACAAATGAATGATCACAGCTCCATTAGTTCTGGTAAGGAACGGTGCGATGCGTATCAAAGTGGCTGTTAGCCGATTTGTGGATTGTGCCAATCAAACAGCCCATTTAATCCACGGAGTCTACTTGGCATCTTTTTGTCTCAGTTTATAACATTTTTGCAGCTTATAAAATTCATTTTATTAGGCTTTTATGTCTCAGTGCAACGCAGAGGTTTAGAGTGGACACAGAAAAGACAGATACCTGTATCCAGTGATTTCAGGATTGGCTGAGGCAGAGCAGATGAAGAGAACCTTGGCTCCCTCTGTTACAGTCTGAGGCTGGACTGACAGAGTCACTGAAGGGGGGTCTGTGAGAAGCAGAAACATTCATGTCACTGACATGCATGACTTTGCAAAAGCATTCATTGGTCTCCACAGAACACTGGTGACTGCATGCTGCACGTTGATAATTTCAGAGTGTTTGTAGGCAGGTGGATGCTGGACTCACGCTGGACATTGATAGTGACTGATGTCTGTCGTCCAGCAGGGGCAGCTGGGTTAACAACCCTGCAGGTGTAGGTGCGTCCGGAGTCACTGTCCTCTGGAATGATTGGAAGCATACTGACAGCTGTTTCCCTCTTCCTATCCTCCATTAGGGACTATGAAGAAGGACAAAAACGAAGAGGTGAGTAAAAATCAGCTCAGCGTCACACAACAAAGTTGCATGTCATTAGCGACTTCACCATTTACACACTGCCAGTCTTATTTTATTTTTTTCCATGCGTGAAGCATTAAAAATTGCCATCCTGTTCCTTGGCATGGCACTTAAATCATATATTTTATGATGCAGCAGGGGATATTGTGCTGTTCCCACATTTCTGAGAGTGTTCCCAGTCAGCGCTCCTTGTTTGTCATCATCTTTTAAATCTATTTACTGCTCACAGAAATCAATACGCCTAAGTGAGGAAAGGTGTAGATTCTGAGGATATGGCTCACTGCTCTCTCACTTTCTTCCTCTCTTCCTCATACATAAGAAAAAAAACAACAAAAAAAAGAAAGTGAAAGCTGAGCTGCCTGCGTGTCCTTTTTTTTGGTTGGTGACAGCGAGGGAGGGGTGTCACACATCATTGGAAAAGAGCAGGGGCGAGCCGAACCTTTTCCCTGGACAGCCAGATCAATGGAACAGGTCTTCCATTCTCTAAGCCAGACACACAAAAAGCATTTTTATGCTAGATCAAATCACATCCCTCCCTGTCGCCAGCCCTCACTTAGACAGAGCACAGCCTACCCCCAATTTCACTCCTAAACGTTGGAAATTCTCTTGTTCTTTCTTTTTTTTTATTTTCACAAAGCTATTAACAACACTTTGCTCTGTCTTCACTCCCCTCCACCCCTTTCTATTCCTCTCCTCCACATTCCTCACATCTCATCTCATCTCCTCTCTCTCCCCCTGTAGCTCGCTTCCTTCCCTCCTCACTGTGGGCTCTCGCCTCCTTAAATGTGGCGTTTAGCATCGTTTAGCGTGGTCAGAGAGCATGAAAAATGTGACACTTTCCCAGCCGCGGCTGGCTTACGCTCTGGCGCATCCCCATTGTGTTTTTACAATTGTTGTGGGTGATTTCTTCTTTGCAGAAACTCTACTGTATGAAACACTCATGCCTGTCTGAGCTTTGGCATGCTCCAGTTATGCTGTAGTGTGGCTGCATTAGTGAGCAAAAAAAGGGGAGGGAGTAGAGAGTGAAGAGGGCTGAGGTGGTGTGGGGTGAGGTGGTGTAGGGAGGGGAGAGAAGCTAGGGTGGAAGGGGTGGGGTGGGTAGGGGGGGTCAGCAATGAGTGGATGCGGAAGGGGGACTGCAGAGAGTAAGCGAACAAATCTTGTGAGGAAAGGGTGGCGATGGAAAAAGAAAGTGTGAGATACCGTGAAAGATAGATGGAGAAAAAAGCATCCAAACAGAAATGAGGAAAAAGATAGTATTATACCCCGAGAGAAAATATTTCTGTTTTTTGAATAGCTTTGCATTTATTTCTGCCCGCTGTTACAGTTTGTAATATTGTGTAGGTGTGTGGTGATTGAATGATAATGCAAAACACGGATCTGTTCTCACTGTACCTTGGAATAAATTGCAGTTTCCATGACTTCTCCATCTCTGTACCAGGTGATTTCAGCAGCAGGTTTGGCTCCCGAGGCTCTGCAGGTGAGGTTGTGCAGTGTGTGGGCCTTGAGACGTACAACGGGGCCGCCTTCCACCACAGGGTCAGAGGGAGGAACTGTAATGCAGAAACAAACATACAGCTCAAAACAAAAAGACTCATTGCAGCTCCGGGCGAGCGCAGAACCGCAAAGACGCATTACTGATATTGAGCTTGCTGTTGCTCTTAGCCCATCGTCAATATATAACAATACCTTCTTATTGCCAAGTGTCTATTTAACAAGGTGTAGTTTCAGACAGGAGAAAAGGCCGAGAGCTGTTGTCATTTGGTGAAAGAAAAAAAAAAAGCACACACACACTCAAACTTATTTATTTCCTTTCTTGGGGCTAGCATTATTGCTCTATTTGCTCTTACTGTTGCAGAGTGATGTTTCAACTGAATTGCTTATTTGTTCATTTATTTGCATGGTTTCGCACGCACCACTGTCAAGCCAAGCGTGCCACCCCTGATGAAGGCGTCTATCTCCCCAACCAATAAGGGAAGGCGTAAACATGGGGTTTGTGCTGGCCTTTCTTGCACCCTCTACCGAACCAATTTCACTGTGTGTATCTGAATTGTCAGAGGTCCTTCCGCTGCCGCGGCACGGACACTAATGGAATCCGAGTGCTAGGTGATTTTAATTTCCATGCCGATTCCCCTGACTGCACTCCCACCGTTGACTCCTTTGACTGTGCAGGATTGCTTTGGTCTCATCTGGCCACATTGATTTACGCACACACAGACACACACATACACTCACAAGTTAGGCGCACGCTCCCTCCTCATGTCCACACAAAAACATGAGCAATGCATCTGATTTCATTTATGTGTTTATGAAATGCACATAATGTTCATGAAGCACCAGCCACGGTGTCGGCCTTGGTCTTTCGAGAGTGCGTTTAATGTTGAAGAGGCAGTTTTATCAAGTTTTCATGACTGCCTCCACACACACTCTCTGGATGTGTGTGGGCATGTGGCGACCGCACTGCTTCGTGCTACGCTGCGCAGCTTTTGACGGTGACACGAGACAGATAGAGGTGGGCAGATGAGCTCGGGTGAGTCCTCAGATTCTGTTCATTTAGCTGAAATGTTTCTACCTACCACTCAATTTGCCCTCCCATTGTTGTGCTATCTGCACCACTTGTCACTCTGCCTCAGTGACTTTGAACAGACACCTCCATGCAACGGATGGATTCAGTGACAGCAGGGTCTTTGTGGAGAAATGTTCACATAAGCTGCAGCAACAGATCTCTATAATTGTTCCCTTTGAGTTTTCCTTTCTTGATGAAAAATGCTTGCCTTGCAGGTCCATTTATGGGCAATTGACAGGGCTAATTTATAGAGTGATATTCCTTTTCATGCCACCAGATGCCAGCAGTACTATGTCAACTCCAATTCCCAAAAGATCCGGCCCCCCTCCTCCTCCTCCTCCCCGTACTCCCCCATCCCTACCCCACTCCGCTCCACCTCACCCCACCTCTGAAGGTCTGTGTGAAGAAGTAGATCACTCACATCACGTTAATGTAAAAACCGCCGTGCGGTTGACAAATGTTGTGGCTCACTGTAAAATGTGCTAACTATGCAGACTTTCAAGCGACTACGCAAGTCATTTGTGACTGCAGCAATCACATTACCCTAGACGTCGAGAGTCTTGATTATCGCGACTAAGAATGCTGGCGTTTCTTTTTTTTTCCTCTTCTTCTCATAGTTGAGTCTTATTTGGTTTGAATTATGCTTTCAAGGCATGTTTTCCACTTGGAAACTGTACAGATAACGTTATCTATAAGCGTTATCTATATAAAAAAACCCAAACAAACTATGAAGTTTAAGACATTTAATGTTGTGTTTTGAAGGTGATTCATTTCAGGGGATGAACATGTATTATTAGGGTAGTTGTCTGCAAGCTTTTATGCTCTGCGATGAAGACACTCCCCTGATTTTTCCCAGGCACTGCCAGCCTGCAGGCCTTGGCACAAGGGCCGACTGTGAGGATCATGCGTGAGCTGTGTATCTTACCTAGTACAGTGAGCTTGGCACGGTGGGAGCGAAGCGCTGCCTGTGTAGCCTGACACTCATACACCGCGTCATCCGCCAACTCTGCTGAATCGATCTGCAAGCTGTGCTCGCCTGATAGCGGGTCGCCCATTAAGGAATAGCGTGTCCAGCCTGCGTGAAGCCAGCACAGAGAATAGAGTCAGAGACAAACAAACCAACCAACAACAAACACATAATGAAAGGACTATAAAATGAACAGACTTGTGTCCCGAACAAAGCCAAAAGAAACGTGGCAAGGCTCTTTAAGACACAAATGAAAGCAAGCAGCACCTCACAGGGCCAGGCATTGAGCTGTTGTGTTAGCAGAGCAGCGTGAGCCTAGAGATGCAACACGTGAGAAGGCTGCTGCATGGGAAGACTGTCCTTTAAATACAGGCACACTGAAGATGGGGTGGCTAAGGTCAAGAGGAAGCTTCTTCGCCTTTATGCTAGTCAGCCACACATTTAAATGTCAATGTGTGGCAAAAGCCAATTGATTATCCACCTTCTTACAAGAGTTAAAATGCTAAACAACAAATTAAAGTTCGGTGCGTGCAGCAGTAGCTGACCTGTCTGCAGTACATTGTTCACTCACCATTCATTTGTGTAAAACCCCAAAGGTTGACAGAGAGAGAGTTGATTTCTAATGAGGCCTGGCATTAATTGCAGCAGGACAGACAGAGACAGAGAGAGCACTAAACACAGAGAGGGCAGGAGAAGAAAAAAGAGGGGGCTGGAGAGAAGAAGCCAGTGATAATACCTGGTAGATCTCTCTCTCCTCCCAGTGCCAGGCCATCTTTGGTCCACTGTACCATTCCACGGTAACCCACGATGACACAAGGCAAGGTCACCGACTGACCGGATACAACCACCTGGTCCTGGGGCTGCTGGGAGAAGTAGGCTGCTTGGGTGGCTGCTGGAAGAAAAAATAAAAAGGAGACAATGTGAACAACTAAAATCTTTAAATTGACCTTTTCCTTGATGGCAAACTGCAAATTCATACCGAGAGTCACAATATGGCTATAAAATCTCGATGTATTGAATTCAGAAAATGTGATCACAGTAGATTTCTGCAGTGCCAGCAGAGACGCATGACGAGGAAAGTGAAACTTTCTCTGTAAGGGCTTTGACGAAATAATGCAACTATTTAAAAAAAAGCAGACTGACACGAACTGCTCAGCTTACTCTCCTGTTACCACAGCACTTGGTGGGAGAAATGGACATGCGTGAAAATATTATTTGTTCCCCCACTACAAATGCGTCTTCTAAGAGGAAGAGTCAGCTGTTACTCGTAACTTATTTAACTCTTTCCCAAGACCATATGGTTACATGCTCACTGACATGAAGCAAACACGCTTGTGGAGAGAAAACGCAGCCACTCCTTCAATGTGCTTTTTGTAAAAATGGATGTTAAACAATCAAAACTCCATTAAAGTTCCCTGGGGACCCGTTCATTCGAGCTTGCTGAAAGTCAGCGGAGACAACTGCCGCCACCGCTGTCGCCGTTTCGCTGCTGTGTTTAAGTCAAAGTCTCCCCGGATTGGCTGGCTTGCCTTCACACGCATGCAGAAACACAGCGTGAATATGGATTCGCAGCTCCTACAGTTTGTGCCACTATGCTTAAGATTGTGTATTACAAACCCCACTGGCAGGGGGGGAAGACGGCAGCACTCCAGAGAGAACTAATTCGTAAGGGAAGGCAGGAGGTGAGAGGGAGAAAGGCAGTTGGTTGGTTATCTAAGTAGGATGTCTGTGTGAGCTGGGAAGAGGACTTAAAAAACCTTCCCTCATTCTCCTCTCTTTGTTGCTCGGTGGAGAATGGAAGGGAAGGGGGACAGTGGAAGATAAAGAGGGTTCTATTCAGGCAGTGCTAAGCCCCCACTCCCCCCACCCCGAACTGCTTCTCTTGGTGGGAACGCTTAAACAGACAGGATCCCCCCTCCCTCCCAACATGAAGAAAGCCACTGAAAGGAGGGCAACATACGGCGGCCAGAGACACGCTATTGTCCTCTTGTCCCTCTCTTTTAATAGGCCTCTTCATTTCTAATCAATCCTGCTAAATGCAAGTTTAATAGCTTTTCAATAGCAGCTTTTCCCCCCAGAGGGTAGCTGGGATTTTCTCTACCCCCCCCCATCCTCCCCTTCTTTTACCCTCCATTCTTTCTAGTTTTTCTTTTCTGAAGGGGTGGTGTGTTGAGGGGCTTCCGTGGTTGTTGGCACTGTTTATCCTGCACTCAATTAACCACTTCATCTCAGGACTGCACCCTACCCTTCGCCTCCCTCACCCCTTTGCACCCTCCTGCCTCTGTCATCCAACAGCACGATTAAAGCCGCCAAACAGTGAGCTCATCAGGAACATGAGCGCTCAACACTTTAGACCGTTGTGGCTCTCGACAATTGCCTCGAAACCCATTTTCACATGCTCCCATTGTCTGTTACTCTCCATCTGGGCCAAACGAGGTGTTAATAGATCGAGTCGAGATGTAAAAAAAGAAGAAAAAAGAAAGATCAGAGAACAATGCATGTCGGCTCTCCAGTATCGTCTCCCTGTACATCATTTTTATGAAAGAGCTTTAAAAGCCGATTGAGCTGTGGGTGCAAACAGGTAGACTGCTGTATGTGTGGCACGCACTGGGGATCAAAAGAGGCCAATTTGAGAGCGTCAATAAGAAGTGAAACGTCTTCGAGTGAAGGCCATTAGGCATTTACCGAAGGCTGGCATTTTCCAGTCATACCTTCAAAAAAATGCTGTTTTAACAGTCTGCCCGCCTGTCCCTTACATTCTGCCGTTATGAGCTATTGAGCGTTTTCATTTTCCTCCCATTGCAAAGCGAGTTGGGGGATTTTCCTCTTTGTACTTGCAACAGTACAAACATTGATTGTAATTAAGTATCTTGCCCAGAGTATCTAAATGTTTACAATGGGTAATAGTTCACTGCATTGGTTGATTGTTTAGATGGATTACATGCATTGAATTGCTTCTCTTTACCTCGCCCACGTACAATTTCTCATGCTCACAAATGGCAATTAACACCATACGCACACACACTCACGCATATGCAGCCGTACAAATATAGAGTACGGAGCATGTGCTGTAGAGAATGTCTTCACGCCATATGAGTGATTCATTGCTCTCCAGATCCCTTATTGAAAATGCTCAACAGAACATCTCGACTGGCTAATGACTCATGCCAGATTCCTTTAATTCCTCCTTGCTGAATTAGACAATTCTTTGACGGTGTATTAGCAGCTTAATTACATGAATACATTTCTGACGGGGAGAGAGGGAGGAACGCAACCAGACAAAGAAGTAGTGGAGGAGAAGCAGTCAGAAGAAGTAGGGAGCTGTGGGTGTGAGGAGGCTTGTTCTTGGTGTGCTGCAGTGTCACATACACACATGCGTGTACACAAACGAAAACACACAAATAGTTTTCGGTGATTTTCAGCAGACTAAAAATGGGGAGCTCGTCTATTGGCTGCAGTTGAATCGCATTCGTAAAGAAAGACTTGAATCCCCTTGAAATTACAACATTTCTGCAGAGGATGTGAGTTTATTTATCGCGTTGTCTCGATTGCTACGCAGGTAAATATGTGCAGAGTAGATTAGTTATACAACACGTTCCGTGCTTAAATGTTACACTGACACCAAAAATGCAATATTCGCTCTTTCTCACCTTGCTGTGCGTATATGTGTGCGCGTGACTGCTTTTCCGTCCCCTAGTAACAAGGTCAAAAACACATTTGGCCAGATACATTTTAATCCGGATTTCTCAAAATGGAATATCATTTCACACCGCTGGATGCACATGGGGCTAAGTTTATGTGTGTCTGTGTGTGCGTGCATTTCCGCCTGACGCTGAGTGTGTGTTTGGGCTATGTATGTTTATGTCTGCCGTTTCATCTCAGTGTGTGAATGAGTGTGGAGGTTGGGGCTGCGTTAATAGGGTAAGCATCTTGTCAGGCACTGGAGGGCACATTTAGCAGTTACTTTGACACAGTGACTTTGCTGTTTCTGTCACATGGTTGGTGTTAAGTGCAAAACAGCCTCCCCGACTTGGGCGAAACCTATTAAAGAGCTTTGCGTTGACCCTGGAACTGCTTGCTCTCTCTCCTTCATCTGAACTGATAGGGGATGCGCTCGCATCAGGAAGGATCAGGAAGGGATGGACAGATGTCGGCAATGATCCGTCCTCCACTGGACATCTGCCTTGATAGAAATAGATTGAAGCAGTCATTCTGCGTGTGCGAGCGCGCGTGCGTATGTACGCGAGTGTGTCTCGTGTGCATTTATCCCGGTGGGGACTTTAACCTGACTGCACACAAACCTGTGGGAACAAAAATCAAGGTCCCCAGAGGTATGGACTGCTTTTTGAGGCTTAATACTTGGTTTTAGGTTCAGGGATAGCATCAGTTAAGGTTACGTGGATAACTGCGAATACCCAGACGAGTGTCATGGTCCGAAAGCGTTGTTGTTGCTGCTGTACTGTAGTTTCTGTGTAGACACGCTGCGGTCACAACAAACTCAAGGACGCTCGGACACCCCCTGTGGAGTCTTGCATTCAGCCCTCATGACAGAATTTGCACCAGTAGGACCCAAGCTAACTCTCGTACTTGGTAAAGTGGAAAGTATAACGCTGCCATTAGGATTAGGCATTCATTTATTGTGATGGATAAGGTGAAGGCTAGGGGATAAGAAATGCATTATCAATGAGGGAGTCCCTCTGGGCTACAGAAGTAAGATTTTTTTTAAAATAAAAAAAACTTTAATAATAAATAAATGATCTGAGCATCTGAGGGCACAAAAGTCAATTTAAGTGCATAAGTTGGAACCTTCAAATGAAAACTAAAATAACATCAGCTACTCCACTCTGTTCATTTTCCTATGTTTTACGATGACACTCAGCTGCTGATGGCAGTGTTTGCAAAGAGTTCTTATTTTAGTTCCGATTTTATGCCATGTCCTCATTCCCATCCAGTACGAAGAGTACAACATCCAGTCCTGTGGGGTCTATAAATGTAAGTGCTCTCAACTTGACTGGACAATTTGCTCTGTGCAGTAATAATTCAAAATGCTAAAAAAAAAGAAAAAAAGAAATAGCACCCGATATCTACTTGCATTTCAGCCCTGTGCTAACGGCAAAGACTCCCGAGCCCAGCTGGTGTGAGTTTTCCCACAATAAGAGCCAGAGATGAGAAAATGAGGAGGCAAAGCAGACAAAAAACATTACAAAACAAGGCAATTGGCAAAAAAGTGTCAAGCTTGGAATAAACAACCACTTTCTCCAAATGCCATCCATTGTGCCTTGTCTAGATAAGGCTTCTAAATCGGGCTGGAAAATGGGAGCTCCATTTCTCTCTGTATGGAATTATTATCCCTTTGTTTTGAGTCAGCCTCTTTTGTCTTCCTTTTCCTGTGTGTGTGTGTGTGCTTGTGTGTGCATATAAACAGAGAGTAATGCTGAGTAGTAGCTGAACCAAACAGTATGTCCCAAAGGGGACACGGCACCCATCTTATGTTTGATCTGGCTACTAAGCTCATTTCCGTGACTCTCACAGAACTTCTAAGGGGCTTAAAACACGCTAACAACAGATACCACCCACCAGCCCATGGCAGTATGGCCACCCGCCCCATCACACACACTATATGGGTGAGCACCTCTGTATTTTTCTTTAACTGTTGCAAACAGCTTCACCCTGTGCCTCTGCAGATGTCTGCATCTAGCCTACCTTAATGTAACCGAGCATCTCTTCCATCTTTTCTTTCCCACATTGCATTTCATCTGCACTCCCAACCGCCCACTCTCACTATCTTCTCTCCCATTTTGCTTTTTTTGTGCCCAAATTGCAGCCTAACAGCTTTTTAAGAGCTGTTTTGCTGGAGTTTAATCCTCCTAGCCTCCCCTTTCAGCCTTTATT